TGTTTGCCCATTGCACTCCAGGCCTGGGGAACCAAGGAGTAAACCTCCGTATTTCAAAAAAAAAAAAAAAAGGTGGGTCAGCCATCGTGTAATTTCAGCACTTTGGGAGGCGAGGCGGCGGAATCACGACGGGTGAGGAGATCAAGGATTTCATTCCTGGCTACACAGTGAACCCTGTCCTCTACTAAAAATTACAAAAAATTAGTGCCGGGCGTGTTGGCAGGGTGCCTTGTAGTCCAGCCTACTCGGGAGGGCTGAGGCAGGAAAGAATGGCGTGAACTCGGGAGGTGGAGCTTGCAATGAGCTGAGATCACGCCACTGCACTCCAGCCTCAAAGACAGAGTGAGACTCCGTCTCAATAAAACAAAAACAAAACAAAACAAAAAGCTTTGGCCCTATCAAAAATTACACTTCTTTTTCCCTGATCTATCATCCATAGAATCAATTCTCACATATTATGGAGGTTTCTTTTTTTCTTTTTTTTTTCGAGACATGGTCTCACTCTGTCACCCATATTATGGAGGTTTCTGCCAGTATAAACTAGCTACATCTTATCATTTGTGTGTGTGTGTGTGCTTTCTCCTCATAGGTTTGACTTGACTTCCTGGGACGTACAGGAATCTGAATTCAGTAATGGGTCTGGAGGCAACGAGAGATGATACGGGTGGATATTGAAAAGATTAGCCTAACAGTGAGAGGGTCCCCAAGTCAGGCAGGACCAGCCCCATAGACTGGGGAAGAAAGGCTGCTTCTGCTGCCAAGGGAGACTCAGTGAGGGTTGGGGTTTAGGGTGCTCAGATCTATCCAAATCAATCCTGATGTTCCTAGTCCTATTCTCAAGGTCCCATTTTTCCCTAATCAGTGGCCATGTTTTTGCATATGAGACCTGGAGATCTTATGAATTCAACCTGCATTGTAATTCAGCAACCTGCAGGATTTGGTTTTATGTCTGATTTCAGGCTGCATCAGTCCTGCGCCTGGAAGAGATAAAAAGATTACTTAAAAAAAAAAAAATATATGATATTTTATATATATACATATATATGTCCTGGGCACAGTGCTCACACCTCTAATCCATCCACCAGCACTCTTTGGACAGGACCAAGGCGGCTCGGATCACTTGAGGCCAGGAGTTCAACACCCAGCCTGGCCCCAAGCTGTGAACACCCCTCCTCTACTAAAAATATAAAAATTAGCCGGTTGTGGTGGTGGGCACCTGTAATCCCGGCTACTCGGGTGGCTGAGGCAAGAAGAATCGGGCTTGGAACCTGGGAGGCAGAGGTTGCAGTGAGCCGAAATCATGCCACTGCCCTTAAGCCTGGGTGACAGAGTGAGACTCTATTTCTTTGAGCAGTTTTAGGTCCACAGCAAAATTGAGTGGAAAGTATGTATCCCATATACCCACTGCTCCTACACAGACACAGCTTCCCCCACTATCAACATCCCCAGCAGAGTGGTACATTCGTTATAGTCAATACATTGGCACATAATTAGTCAAGTACATAGCTTACATTAAGGTTCACTCTTGGTGTTGTACACTCTATGGGTTTTGAAAAATGTATAATTATATGTATGCGCCATTATAGTATCATACAGAGTAGTTTCATTGCCCTGAAAATCCTCTGTGTTCCACCTATTCATACTTCCCTCCCATAACTCCTAGCAACTTCTGATTTTTTTTTTTACTGTCTCCATAGTTTTACCTATTCCAGAATGTTATTATTTAGGAATCATATAGTATATGGCCTTTTCAGATTGCCTTCTTTCATGTATTAATATGCATTTAAGATTCTTCCATGTCTCTTGGTGGCTTGATAGCTTATTTATCTTTATTGCTGAATAACATTCTGTTGTCTGGATGTACCACAGTTTATCCATTTACTTACTGAAGGGCATCTTGGTTTCTTCCAAGTTTGCGCAGTTGTGAATAAATCGGCTATAAATATCCATTGCAGGTTTTTATGTAGTTGTAAGTTTTCAAATCACTTTTCAAATATAAAAGAGTGTGATTGCTGAATGGTAAGGTAAGGATATGTTTAGTTTTGTAAGAACCTGCCAAACTGTCTTCCAAAGTGGCTGAACTGTTTTGCATTCCCACCAGCAATGAATGAGAGTTCCTGTTGCTCCACATCCTCATCAGCATTTGGTATTGTCGGTGTCCTGGATTTTGGCCATACTAAGAGGTATGTGGTGGTATCTCCCTGTATTAATTTGCAAACCCTAATGACATATGATGTGGAGCATCTTTTAACATGCTTATTTGCCATCTGTATATCTTTTTTGGTGAGGTGCCTGTTCAGGTCTTTTGCCCTTTTTCTTTTTCTGAGGTGGGGTATTGCTGTGTTGCCCAGGCTCATCTCCATCTCCTCAGTCAAATGATCCTCCTGCCTCAGCCTCCCAAGTAGCTGGGACTACATGCGTGTGCCACCATGCCAGGCTTCTTTTGCCTGTTTTAAAATCGGGATGTTCCTTTTCTTATTGTTGAGTTTTAAGAGTTATTTATGTGTCTTAGATAAAGAATCAGATATGTCTTTTGCAAATACTTTATACCAATCTATAGTTTGTTTTCTCATTCTCTTGACAGTGTCTTGTTTTTTTTTGTTTTTTGTTTGTTTGTTTGTTTTTTGGAGAGGGAGTCTCGCTCTGTCACCTAGGCTGGAGTGCAATGGCACAATCTTGGCTCACTGCAACCTCTGCCTCCAGGGTTCAAGCCATTCTCCTGCCTCAGCTTCCCAAGTAGCTGAGATTAGGCGCTTGCCACCATGCCCAGCTAATTTTGAATTTTTCTTTTGAGATGAGTTTTGCTCATGTCACCCAGGCTGGAGTGCAATGGCACGATCTTGGCTCACTGCAACCTCTGCCTCCCGGATTCAAGCGATTCTCCTGCCTCAGCCTCCCGAGTAGATGGGACTATAGGCACCTGCCACCATGCCTGGCTAATTTTTGTGTTTTTGGTAGAGACGAGGTTTCACCGTGTTGGCCAGGCTGGTCTTGAATTCCTGACCTCACGTCATCCACCCGCTTCGGCCACCCACAGTGTTGGGATTACAGGTGTGCGCCACCACACCCGGGTTTAATTTTTGTGTTTTTAGTGGAGACGGGGTTTCACCATGTTGGCCAGGCTGGTCTCAAACTCCTGACCTCAGGTGATCCACTCACCTCGGCCACCCAAAGTGCTGGGATTACAGGCGTGAGCCATCGCGCCTGGACAGTGTCTTTTGCAGAGCAGAAGTTTTTAATCTGAATGAAGTCCAGCTTATCAATCATTTCTTTCATGGATCATGCCTTTGGTGTACCTAAAAACTTACTGCCATACCCAAGGGCACTAACATGTTCTCCTATGTTATCTTCTAGGGGTTTTACAGTTTTGCATTTTACATTTAGGTGTATGATCCATTTTGAGTTAATTTTTTGAAGGGTGTAAAGGAGATTTCTTTTTTGAGGGCAGTGAAAGAAGCTCTCCAGTGTCTGACTATGCCTTGAACTAAAAGTTTACAACCATGATCTTGCCTTTAAAGAGTTTTTTCTTAATTATGTCAGCAATATGTATTTATTGTTGTTCATAAATGGTCAAAAGATACTACCTATTAGACTAAAACAAAGTATAGCTTCTCAAATACAGCATCACATAGAGACAAAGAATGAAAAGGCCAGTCATGTGTATACTTTAAAACACCCATATATACACATATACCCTCATGTCCAATACAAGCAAATGTTCTCCATACTTTGCTTTGAAAGCAGGAAACATTGAGTTGCAGAGGTTCTAAGATACAGAACATATTGAACACATTTCAGGCACTTAAAAAATGCACTGAAATAGCAAGAATAAAGTTTTTTTCTGGCCAGGCATGGTGGCTTAGGTGTATAATTCCAACACTTTGGGAGGCTGAGGCCGGAGGATCTCTTGAGTTCGGGAGTTCAAGACCAGCCTGGGCAACATAGTGAGACCCTGGGTCAACAAAAAATAAAATATTGGCTGAGCATAGTAGCATGCACCTATAGTCCCAGCTACTCTGGAGGCTGAGGTGGGAGGATTGCTTGAGCTCGGGAGGTGGAGGCTGCAGTGAGCCGTGAATCACGCCATTGCACTCCAGCCTTGGTGACAGAGTGAAACCCTGAAAAAAAAAAAAAGGTGGTTTTTCTTCAAACATTTTGATCCGAGCTAAAGCAAAGAGTACATTAGAACAGACCAGAAAGATGTGTACAAGTAGATTTGTTTCCTTCTCAAACATTTAACAATTTACTTATTAAACATTAAGCTGAGTCAGTTTAAACCAAATGACATAATAACTGATTATTGCTCCAAACAGGAATCTGTTGTTTCTTAGTGTCTATAGATAGAAGTTTCACAGATGCAAGGATGTTATTTACCTGAAAGATCATTCCTGTTACAATTAGAGGGCATTCATGCAAAAATTGTTTCCTGTTTTATTTGCCTTTTAAAATTGTGAAACATGATACGAAGACATTTCCTTATGTAATTACAAAATCATTAGTACACCTAACACAATTCACAATCCTTCCTTACTGTCATCATAGTCAAATGAACGTCACTATATTCAAATGTTCCCAATTTAACTAAAAACATATTTTGAAAAATTATTTACAAATAAAACTTTTTTTTAAATGCAGGGTCTTGTTCTGTCACCCAGGCTGGAGTGCAGCACAATCATAGCTCACTGTAACCTCCAACTTCTGGGCTCCACTGATCCTTCAGCTTCAGCCTCCTGAGTAGCTGGGCCTACAGGCATACACCACCATACCTGGTTAATTTTTATTTTTTTCAGAGCAGGAGTGAAAGTTTATTTAAAAGCTTTAGAACAGTAAGGAAAGGAAAGAAAAGAAGGAAAGTACAACTTGGAAGAGGGCCAAGTGGGTGACTTGAGAAACCAAGTGCACCTAATTTGAATTTTTTTGTAACAGATAGAGTCTTGCTATGTTGTCCAGTCTGGTCTCCAACTTCCAGCCTCAAGTGATCCTTCCATCTTTGCTTCCCAAAGTGCTGAGATTACAGGTGTGAGCCACCACACCCGACCAAAATGTATCTTTTAATAGTTAGATTGTTTGATTCAGGATCCAAACATTGACTTTTATGGTCACCACTTCCTTACTTTTCTTTAACATTTTACCACTTAAGCATGACTTCCTATTTGTGTAGTTTAGTTTTGCCTGTTTTTATTAACATCATAGAGTCATAACAGTATGTATTCCTTTGTGTTTGGTTTCTTTCATTCAACATTATGCTTTTAAGATTGATCCATGTTTTAACATATAGCTGTGCTTTATCTTCTTGCCTGTATAGTATTGAAATCAACCCAGTTTTCACACTAAACCGAAAATTGAGAAACTTATATTTGTTTTTATCTGAGTTCCTTTCTCAGGAAACCAATCATCAGGCCTCCCAGAGAGAATCGAGGATCTGAAACCTCCCATATCACCACATCTAGACAATGAGACACACCTGCTGCCTGTTGACAAACTCCTCTTCTTTATACCTCCCGAATTTCTGTTTTCCTGCATATGGTTACGGTGAGACACCAGACCCCTCATCCAACCACCTGCTGCCTGTTGACCAACTCCTCTTCCTTACCTCTCCCTAATTCTTGTTTTACATTCCTTCCCTACTATAAAAACCCCTAACTTTAGTCAGTTGGAGAGATGGATTTGAGACTGCTCTCCCATCTCCTGGCTGACATTACTGGCATTAAAGCTGTTCTTCCCTGGCAATATTCATCTCAGTGATTGGCTTTCTGTGCAGCAAGAAACCAGACCTAGGCCAAACCCCTGGTGTTTGGCAACAGTATTTCATTGTACAAATCTGCCATAATCTATCTAAACTCTACTTTTGAAAGGCATTTGGAACATTCTGATTTTTAACTGTATAAACAATGCTGCAAGAACATTTTTGTACATATTTCCTGGTACACATAAGCAGACTTTTTTTTTTTTTTTTGAGACAGAGTCTTGCTCTGTCGCCCAGGTTGGAGCGCAGTGGTGTGATCTCGGCTCACTGCAACCTCCGTCTCCCAGGTTCAAGTGATTCTCCTGCCTCAGCCTCCCGAGTAGCTGGGACTACAGGTGTGCACCACCACACCCAGCTAATTTTTGTATTTTTAGTAGAGATGGGGTTTCACCATGTTTATTATTATTATTATTTTTTTGAGACGGAGTCTCGGTCTGTCGCCCAGGCTGGAGTGCAGTGGCGCAATCTCGGCTCACTGCAAGCTCCGCCTCCCGGGTTCACCCCATTCTCCTGCCTCAGCCTCCCGAGTAGCTGGGACTACAGGCGCCCGCCACCGCGCCCGGCTAATTTTTTCTATTTTTAGTAGAGACGGGGTTTCACCATGGTCTCGATCTCCTGACCTTGTGATCCATCCGCCTCGGCCTCCCAAAGTGCTGGGATTACAGGCGTGAGCCACCGCGCCCGGCCTCACCATGTTGACCAGGCTGGTCTCAAACTCCTGACCTCAGGTGATTCACCTGCCTCGGCCTCCCAAAGTGCTGGGATTACAGGCGTGAGCCACTGCGCCCGGCCCTAAGCGTACATTTCTGTAGGGTGTATGACTTATTGGGACAAAAGGTATACACATCTTTAACTTTTCTAGCTAGTGTCAAACTTTCCTGAAGTAGTTTTACTAATGTATACTCCCAACCAGCAGAGTATGAAAGGTCCTATTATTCCACATACTTCCCAACCCTTGGAACAGTCAATTTTAAATTTTTGCCAAGCTGAGGATTGCAAAATGGTATCTCATGTGGGTTAAAATAGGCATTTTCCTGATAATTAATGAAGTTGAGCACCTTTAATATTTTTTTCTTTTTAGAGACAGGGTCTTGCTCTGTTGCCCAGGCTAGAGTGCAGTGCCACGATCATAGCTCACTGCAGCCTCGAACTACAGGGCTGGGCTCAAGTAGTCCTCCTGCCTCAGGCTCCTAAGCAGCTGGGACTACAGGCATGCCACCATCACGCCTGGATATTAAAAAAATTTTTTTGGGCCGGGCGCGGTGGCTCAAGCCTGTAATCCCAGCACTTTGGGAGGCCGAGACGGGCGGATCACGAGGTCAGGAGATCGAGACCATCCTGGCTAACACGGTGAAACCCCGTCTCTACTAAAAATACAAAAAACTAGCCGGGCGAGGTGGCGGGCGCCTGTAGTCCCAGCCTCCGGGAGGCTGAGGCCGGAGAATGGCGTGAACCCAGGAGGCGGAGCTTGCAGTGAGCTGAGATCCGGCCAGGGCACTCCAACCTGGGCGGCAGAGCGAGACTCCGCCTCAAAAAAAAAAAAAAAAAAAAAAAAATTTTTTTGTAGAGATGGTCTCACTATGTTGCCCAGGCTGGTCTTCAACTCCTGGTCTCAACTGATCCTCCCACTTGGGCTTCCCAAGTTGCTGGGATTGCAGGCATGAGCCAGCACACCAGGCCTACCTTTTCATATTTTTTACTGGTCATTCAAGTACTCTCTTGTAAAACTGTTAGACTCTTTTGCATATTTTTCTATTGATTATCTATCTTTCTCTTGTTGAATTGTAGAACTTCATCTTACAATCTGGATATGGAATCTGATTTTAAGTGAGGCAAACATATTTTCCCATTTTGTGGTTTTCCTTTGTACTGTTTATGGTGTCTCTGGGTGAAGAAGTTATTATTTTTGATGGAGTCAATTTTACCAGTCCTTCCCTTTCATGCTTTGTACTTTTGGTGTTTTGTTTAATAAGTCTTTTACCATCCCAGGCCCAGCGTGGTGGCTCATGCCTGTAATCCCAGGACTTTAGGAAGCCAAGGTGGGAGGATTGAGGCCAGGAGTTTGAGACCAGCCTGGGCAATGTAGCAAGACCCCCCATCTCTATTTTTTAAAAAATACATCTTTTACTATTCTAATGTCAAGAATATACTTCTTTGTTACTTTCTTTGCTTTTCACACTTAGGTCTATAATCTACCTGGGAATTATTTGATTTTAAAAAAATACATAATGTGAAGTAAATACCCAATTTATTTTTAGTTTTTTTAACTGGGCACCCAATTGTCCCAGCACCATTTGTTGGAAAGACTGCCCTGCTCCCATGGCTCTACAGAGACACATTTTTGATAAATCAAGTATGCGAATATGCACGGATTCATCCTTCTTTTCTTTTTTCTTTTTTGTGACGGAGTCTTGCTCTGTCACCCAGGCTGGAGTGCAGTGGCACAATCTCAGCTCACGGCAACCTCTGCTTCCCGGGTTCAAGCAATTCTCCTGCCTCAGCCTCCCAAGTAGCTGGGATTACAGGCACCTGCCATCACACCTGGCTAATTTTTGTAGTTTTAGTAGAGTCGGAGTTTCACCATGTTGGCCAGGCTGGTCTTGAGTTCCTGACCTCAGGTAATCCACCCGCCTCGGCCTCCCAAAGTGCTGGGATTACAGGCATGAGCCACTGCGCCCGGCCAGATTCGTTTTTCTATCCTTGTGCCAATACTACACTTTTTTTTTTTTTTTTTTTTCCTGAGATGGAGTTTTACTCTTGTTGCCCAGGCTGGAGTGCAATGGCGTGTTCTCGGCTCACTGCAATCTCCGCCTCCCAGGTTCAAGTGATTCTACTGCCTCAGCCTCCTGAGTAGCTGGGATTACAGGCGTGTGCCACCACGCCCAGCTAATTTTGTATTTTTAGTAGAGACGGGGTTTCGCCATGTTTGCCAGGCTGGTCTCGAACTCCTGACCTCAGGTGATCCTCCTGCCTTGGCCTCCTAAAGTGCTGGGATTACAGGCATGAGCCATAGTGCCCGGCTGCCAGTACTACACTCTTAGTTACTACAGCTTTGTTTTTTTAAAAAACCCTTAACGTCTGAGAGATCAAGTCCTCCATCATAGTTCTTCTTCAGGAGTCATGGCTATTCTTAACCTTTTTCATTTCTATTAATATATACATTTTAGAATCAGTCAAGTTCCACCAAAAGAAACAAACAAAACAAATCAACCCACCCATAAGGGTTTAATTGGAATCACATTGAATCTGTAGATCAACTTGGGGAGAACTGGCATTCTTGTAATATTGAGTTCAGCAGCTTATGCATGTGAATATGGTGTCTCACTCCGTTTATTTACATCTTTTTTTTTTTTTTTTTTGAGACAGTCTCACTCTGTCACCCAGGCTGGAGTGCAGTGGCGTGATCACGGCTCACTGCAGCCTTGACCTCCCAGGCTCAAGTGATCCCACCTCAGCCTCCCAAGTAGCTGGGACTATGGGCTCGTAACACCACACCCGGCTAATTAAAAAAATTTTTTTGTAGAGACAAGGTCTCACTATGTTGCCCAGGCTAATGTTGAACTCCTGGGCTCAAGTGATCCTCCTGCGTTGGCCTCCCAAAGTGCTGGGATTACGGGAGTTATTTACATCTTGTTTTTTTCTTTTCTTTTCTTTCTTTTTTTTTTTTTTTTTTTTGAGATAGAGTCTTACTCTGTCACCTAGTTAGAGTGCAATAGTGCGATCTTAGCTCACTACAACCTCCGCCTCCCAGGCTCAAGTGATCCTCCTGCCACAGCTTCCCAAGTAGTTGGGACTATAGGCGTGCACCACCATACCTGGCTAATTTTTGTATTTTTTGCAGAGACAGGGCTTCGCCATGTTGCCCAGGATGGTTTTATGTTTGTTTGTTTGTGTGTTTGGCTTTTTTTTTGAGATGAAGTTTCACTCTTGTCACCCGGGTTGGAGTGCAATGGCTCGATCCTGGCTCACTGCAACCTCTGCCTCCCGGGTTCAAGTGATTCTTTTCTCTCAGCCTCCCGAGTAGCTGGGATTATAGGTGCACACCATCACGCCCAGCTAATTTTGTATTTTTAGTAGAGACGGGGTTTCACCATGTTGGCCAGACTGGTCTCAAACTCCTGACCTCAGGTGATCCACCTACCTCGGCCTCCTAAAGTGCTAGGATTACAGCCGTGAGCCACACTGTGCCCAGCCCCATCCTATCTTTCTTGAGGAGGCAGGTTAAGTGGAGAAGGGGACCTAGTTCAAAGGGGTTTAGGAGATCAGGTTGGCTGCGGAGGGACTCAAGCTCTGGAGATGCCTTCAGGGACGGTCTCCTCTCTGGCCATTTTATTTCCCCAACTACCACCAGGAGGTGCTGCTGGGATTGAGCCCCTTCCTGCCCTTTACCTGGCATTCAGGCCTCATTCTCTTCTGAGGGCCTCCCTTCATCTCCCTGCCCTTGCACGATGGCATCCTGTTTGGTCCTGGGATCAGCTCCAAATAGGAAGGCAGGCAAACAGCCAGACCTTTCCCCTAGACTAAGGCTTAAGATCACGCCGAGTCAGCGCCTGTGCATCCATTACTTCCTGCCACCCCTAACTGCAGACATCAGAGTCCCCAGCTGGGCCTGTCCTGCTATGTGGCCTATGTGGCTACCTGCTCAACCTGTAGCCTGGCTTAGGACAACCCCAATACCGATCCCTCTACATAACCAACCATTGCAGACCAAAAGCAGAGGCCCAAGGGAGCAGAAAGGATCCCAGGAGGAGCAGGCACATTGAGGGGTACTCAGATGGGGAGGGCC